ATCTGTTACTCGGAGTCACTCAGCTAAGCGATGGCACGTTTGTTCTTGTCGGTGCAGATTATATGCTTTACACATTGACTAATGTCAACAGTAAGTTGATTAATGTGCTGAGCAACCAGTCACTTCTCGCAGTTATTCAGCTAATTGATGGTACATTCCTCGGTATTGGAATTGATAAACAGCTTTACACGAATACAAATTTGAACAGCAACTGGGTGAATGTGGCAGGTAGCGGTTCTATGATTGCCGTTACTCAGCTGAACGATGGCACAATTCTTGCTGTTGGTGTAGATCAGTTACTTCACGAACGCGCTAGTTTGACCAGCAATTGGGTAAATGTGACGAGCGATAGAAACATGATAGCAATTGCGATTATGCCCAAGTAGTATTTGTAACGATTATCATTTTTCTATATTGCTTCATATAATTATATATAATCATGCTTTTCTTTTCGTTTTATCTTGCACTAACTTTAATCTTATACTGTTTTCAATACAATATTACAAATAAAAAAAACGAAAATTTATTAAGAGAAAATAATTAAAAAGGAGAAGAGAGCAAGAGAAACGTATACATGTATTAGTCAAATCAAGCGGAGGGTGTGGGTATTTTGTCTTTCATTCACACCCACATCCTCAATTAAAAATGAATGTTTTAACTAATGATATTCGAAATAATGAAGCTGATCGGAAAAGTTAATAACTTGATACAGAACAAATCTATTCTAAAACTGGAACTAGCACTCTTAAAATAGAAAAAACACTCACTACGCGGAATTATTATTTTCAAAAAGAGAATTCTTCATTCCTTTCTTAATCAATTTAATAAGGATTGGTATTTTTTTGATCACCAAATTTATTTTTAATTAAATTACGAATGATAAATAGATTTATTCCTTTCACTTTAACATTCATTGTATTTGTCATGCCATCAGATAAATAAATAAAAAGAATTTAGAGATGCTATACAGTAAATCAAGCAATGTTTACATAATACATTATGAAAAAAAATCAATATTGTATTTTTGTTTTGATTGGAAATAAATTATATGAGCAAATCTTGCATTCTTTACGATATTCACTTATAAAGCGAATATAAAAATAATTGTTGATCGAAATATATATTTGACGCAAGGTACATGTTCAGTATCATTTCCTTTGAGATGAGTGTGGATGTAGATGAATACAAAACGCACACTCACACTCTCAAAAAGTCATTTGTACGACTTAAAGTCTGATAAAAGACAGAAAATTGATCACGCACGATGAGCTTTTGATTTGAACGGTAGAAAGAATATGTATAGGAATGAAGAGAAAAGGGAAAAAGGTGATGAAACCTCTCTATACAGCTTATAAACGACGATTATATAAGTGCTATTACATATAAATTAACTATTTACATCTTTATTCGATTCGATTCACCTTGTTGTAAAAATAAACGTCAAAATATTTATTGATTTTTTCATCAACCACCAATTTTTTCTGCAGTTTTAATTTTCAAATATAAATAATCTGTATCTCATCGTGTCTACTTTATCACATATTTCTCTTTGATCATTAAAAAAATGTTACATTTATATATATATATATCAGAATTACTTCCTTTCTGTCCTTCGTCTCAAGTATTTCATCTGCATTATATTTAATCACAACCATTAATATGTATATTAGCGAGAGAAAATCTATAAAAAGGTAACATATTTTCGTCATATATATATAATAAAATAAATCATATGACGAAAGAAAAAGAAGGCGGTAGCATTTATAATATAGAAATTCGATCAATGCATACTTTCGAATACCTAACTGTAGTGACTTATTTTTTATAATGATTCAATAAAAAGAGAAAATTTCTCTATGGTAACTAGTACTCAATCGAGGTGTGGTTGTTATTTTTTATAAAAAAATATTGAACACATAGTCAAAAACCTTCTTCTTTCTATAATAAAGAATTTTATAAAGATTGTCAAATCTCATACAAATAAGACTTCGATGACTCACAATTGTATGAAAGGTAATATAGTATACTCATGTCGTTTTAATGGTAGAAAAAAAATGAAAATAAATCTGTACATTTTATATAGTTACTTGTCATAGTAAGTGACTATTTGATTTACATATGTATACAAATACACATTTTTTTCTTCATTAATATATATAAAAAAAAATATCATCAGTAAATATTGCGACATTCAATGTCGAATCTTACATATTGCTCAATCAATACATGTGAAAATAATGGTCAATGTTTTTTGAATACATGTAATTGTACGATTTGTTACACTGGTTTGTTGTGTGAACAAGAAAAATATTCACAAAATCTTTGGGAATTAAGTATTTCCAGTGAGAATCGTTTCAAATATAACTCACTAATTCTAATTATCGCTTTATCTATAATTAGTTTCTTTTCGTTTATAAGTAATTTCTTAGCCTTACAAACATACTTATCTAGTGAAAAAATTCGTATTACTAATCTCGGAGTTTATCTAATACTTTATTCAGTTGGATGTTTGGTTGCAACGATAATTTTATGGCTATGTGGTTTCTTACAATATACTGGATTGATATTATCAACTAATGTTATACGATGTGCATTTATAAGATTGATTAGCAATTCTATAGTATTCTGCTCACTATGGTTCAATCTGTATATCGCAATTGAACGTGCACTTATCGAATATAATATATTAGGCTTATATGATAGAAAAAGACGTTCATTGATTTCATGTCTATTTTTGTATATTTTCATTCCATTATCAAATATTCTACCGATAATCTTTGGACGAAAACCAAACTATACTCTTTGTACATTAAATTTAACATCAACTGGTTATTTTTTCTATTCTTATCTTCATTATGTACACTATTTACTTGGTACATTTGCACTTACTATTTCATTCATTTTTATCATAATACATCTTCTCAAACATCGACGAAATATTATTGATGAAGAGACAATATTTCAATCTATATGTTTGATTATGAAAAAACATTATGGATTTTGTGTACCACTTGTTATTTTCACTGCACTCGTAAGTCCATACTTTGTTCTCGGAAAGGTAATGACATGTGATTCGGCTAATACAAGTTTGATCGGTAAAATGACTACAATTACAAATTTACTATCGAATTTAACCCTAGCTTTAACATTTCTAATGTATGTTTATCCATCATCAGTCTATATGAATGCATTTTGGCAAAGATCGTATTGTGGACGAGTTTTAGTTTACCTAAAGCGAAAATTTTGGAAGAAAGCAAATATCATACGACACATGGATATGAGTGTAATAATAAAATAATTAAATTGATAATTTCTAAAAAATTTATTTAAATATTCATTCATAAAAAAAATTTTTATAATATAATTTATATTTTATAATAAAAAAAATTATTAATTGTTATTTTGTTTTTGTTCAATTAACTGCTGGTGGTGGTGGAATACTTGAATTCCAAACTGGTTCATTATGTGGTTGTGTTGAATCAACAAATTTCTCTGGATCATTGAGCAATATATCCAAATTATAAGTCAAATAACCTTTATTTCTATCAGACAATTCACTCAATTGATTTACTTGTGAAAGTATATTTTTAGTTGTATTTTGAGCAAGAATAGATCGAATTTTCATTCGACATAATTGTTTTAGTCGAAATCCTCTTTTCATACGTTCACAAAGTTGAAGAAATAATGGTTCTAAGATGGATACATTTTGTTGATCATTTAATCGAGACCTACATAGAAAAAATTGTGAATATTATTTATATGTAATCCTACGAGGATAAATATCTTACATATTAAATTCTTGTTGTTGATGATCTAAATATTGTTGAAAACCTTTCGTTTCACATAATGGTTCAATAATATCCATTATATTCACACGTATATTTGGTACACGAAGATGTATTGAAAAACAAATTTGAATAATTTGTGCAAAATATTTATGAACATTTATTAAACGTACAATTAATAGTTGTGATAAATAAACACGTGAAACTGAATATGATTGATTGATACCTGTTGGCCAAAGAACATGAAAAAATGTTTCCATATTTGTTAATGATAATAATTGAGATTGTTTTGATAGAAGATGATAGAGTTCATCTAAGAATGCTGAATGACATGTTAATGGAAGAAATATACAACCGATAATTAGTGCACGTAATATTGATTGTTGTGAAGATATTTTTGAATCAAGACGAAATACAATTCGACGATAAAGTGAACGAGATGATATATTATAAAAATATCGAGCTAGAAAAAAGAAAATTGTTTTTTTTTGTCAAAATAAATTCTATTCGATTAAGTAAATTACCAGCATCTTGAAGAAATAAATCAATTTTTGATTGATCTGATTCTGATCCTTCTTTTATCAATGGAAAATAAAGTATGGGTGTACTTTCAATAATAGCCATAACTTGAATTTGTAATACGATTGGATATGATATAAAATGATCAGTTAAATCAGCATAAACAATTTGATCTAAATATTTGTCGATTAAATTTGTATATTTATTATCATCATGAAGTTCAATTAATTCATCGAGAAATGAAATAAAATAATGAACACGTTCATAAAATTTATCCGAACATAATGAACCAATTTCAGCTACAGTTGATAAAAATAAAGATCGTTGATATGTTAAAAACATATCTGCAATATTTATTAATGAAATTAAATACGAAGGTGAGATCATATCAGACATTGATATAGAAATATCTTTATTCTAGAAAATAAAAAAAAGAAGAATATGACATACATGAAATTGAATAGAATGCAAACTTCAAGAAGATCATTAATAAATTGAAGAGCACATTGTGCAGGTGTTAGATAAGTCGGTTGTTGTTGTAATACAATTTCCATTATTTAAAAACAAATCTAAAATATGAAGAATATCACATGTAGTGTAAAATCCTCGATTTAGTTCTAGTAAAACATGAGGCTTTTGACAAAATAGACATAAAACCATTGTAATCTGGTAAACATTTCTCACTTTCTAATGCATATAAATCTATATTATTACATGTAATTTTTTGCCTTAACTAAATACTGAACATATCCCATTCATTTATAATTTCTTTTGGTTCATCTATTTGATTTTTGAGAATGTCAATTTGTTTTTGTAATTGTTGAATCTGATCAATGGATACATCATCACTTTCATTACGTAGTTCTTGTATATTAGAAATCATTTGAGAAATTTGCTTGTCATATTTAAATACGATTGACTTTACGATTGTATTCTTCATCAATTTCACGATATTTTTTATCACGCCAAGTTTGCAGTCGAGCTAATGGATCTATCTGATTATTGATTGGAATATTCATTTATAAAGATTCAAACAATCCGTTATAGGTATTAATTGATTATTAACTTGAATTTGATGTTCATTAAAATGTTTTGAACAGACGTCCTTGTTACAATGACGACATATGCAAGTAACGGCTCGTTTACAGCCATCAATAGAACATACTAATGAAGGTGATATCATACTATAAATTTTTCTTTTTGGTAGATAGGTAAAGGTTTTATTGTATTTGTCATTCTTTTTCTCCACTAGCAATACTAATGATAACCAATATCGATAGATGTCTCTGATATAATATCTAAAAATTTAATAAATCATTTAAAGATTTTATAAAAATATTTAAAAATATTATTTAATAATTATTCTACTGGAATTCTATTAATCCTCTATGATAATATGTTGTCATAGGATTTATCATCTATAATGGCATACAAATAATTGAATAAATGTCTTTATTCCTGTATAATATACAAAGTATATTTTAAATAATAAATACAATGTCAAAAAAATTAAAGAAAAAAATTAGTGACGATTTGGATGATAGTGATTTTGATTTCAATAATGGTAATGATAGTTCAGAAAGTACATTACCAACTGATCCTACATTTCCTGGTCTTACTGGACTTTCTTTACTTGATGTAAGTTGTTTTTGTTTTTTTTAAATATTCCGCTTTCGAATGATATTTTATTTAAAAGAATATATATATATATTTAAGTTCGATTAAAATAAACATTTATTCTCAATAAAAAGAGTTGACCATAAAAATAACCATCGTTTAAATGTTCGTACAATTTGATGTCCATTAAAGTCACTATCTTCATCTTGATTTAATGGTAATTTTCTTATTTCATCTAAAATATTCATTCCTTGTTCAATAATTTTTACAAGAGATTTTCTTTGCCATTGATCATCGATTTTATCTGGTAATCCAAGTGAAAACGTCTCTTCATATGTTAATTGATAAACATTAGAATTCATTTTCGGTTTACGTAATGAAGTTCTTTGAAGAAATTTTTGTTTCGCCTGTAATGTAGTACCTAAAATTGATGTACGACCTATTGAACCTGTTTCATCTATAAGACTAGGTCGTAATATTCGCATTGGTATTGATTTCCAATTGGGAATTTTTTTTACTAATTCAATTTCAATTGCATCTCGATAAGCTTCAAGTAATGATAATTGTCCTTCGAATGAAAGATTTGCTCGTATTAAATGTTGTTTATGTAAAACATCATCAACAGATGATACATTTCCATATAAACGTTGAAGATAACGTTGTCGCTGTGAATCTTCTTGATCTTTATCAATAATTGTTATTAAACGATCACGTTGTTTTTTTTCATTGAATGTTAATTCTTCATTATTATCAAAGAGTTTTTTCGGCCATATGACAATACCTAATTTAAGTAATGTTGGAAGTAATTGTTCATATTCATCAGGTATTAAACGAAGAATTTCATCGAATTTTTTTCGATCAGATTCAGATAATGAAGAATCATATTCTAATGCAGATAAATACAATGTTTGTTCTTTAACTGATGATGTATTTGTAAAAGCGATTGAAGATCGATCTGATGAAGCTTGATATTGATAAGCTGGTGATGATGGTGGTACGAATCTTGGTTGACGAAGACGACTTGATACTGAAGATGTTGTACTTGCAATAGACAATGTTTTGTTAATACTTGCTGAACGATAGAATTTAGCTTCAGTTGTTGATACGAAATGATGATTGTGTACTGTAGATAATTTAAGTTCATCTTTGTTTTCTTAAAAATAGAAATTAGATTTCATATGATTAATTGTTTTAATGTTTTCGAAACAGGTCTGGATTTTGAGGTCCTACAACTCTTGATAATATCACATGTCAAAGAAACAAACAAAAGAGATAAGAATATTTTTGTTTGAATACAATATACTTTTAATAAGAACGTCTGTACCTTAAATAAAACGAGGTTATCTCTATTGAAATTCTCAAACAAAAAGAAGCTTTTTACATTATATTTATTTTTAATATTAAGTAGAATATTTTCAAAGTGTGAAAGGTTTGATTGATTGTATTCTTATATATATAGACGAAGTCTTATTAAAAGTAAAAATATTAACCTGAATCAAAAGATTTCGAGGGTATATGTTGTTCAATATCTGGTAATGATTCGATTAGATCAGAATTTGTACGTGGTTTTTCATTTCGATTATTATCATCTGTTGCAAATTGTACACGTTTATTTGATTCCGGTTGAATAAAAAGCCATGTTTTAACAATATCATGTGAATTTGGTGGAAGTAAATCAACTTGACTTAAACGTTTAAATAAGGGTGATTGATGTCCATTAATAGATGGTAGATTTCCATCTCTTATTACTGATGATGGTATTGAAATTATTTTTGGACGTTCAAGATTTTTCGATCTAAATTATCAAAAAAACATTAATTTTTGAAATATTTTTTTTTCTTTTGTATTTACCCTGTTGTATTTGTCTCCATTTAATCCGAAGCCTACTAAATCATTTATAAGATATGAAAGAAATAAGTGCTTTTATTGTGTCTTTGTATGAAAAGATAAATGTTATCAAAAATATTAATGTAAATATTTTTATAGGATTCCTATCCAATAGGTGAAGGTGGTGTAGGACAAGGCATAAATGAATTTGATGGTTTAACATCTACGCCAACAACGAATCGTCAAAATCATGTGATGAAAAATGTTATTGAATCAAAAAAACTTCAACATAGTATTCAATTACTTAAAATTGAATTAAATCAACGTGATCTTTTAATACAAAATTTAAAAATTCAACATGAAGAAAAATGTGAAGATTTACAAGAAAAATTAGCTGATATGACATATCAACGAGAAATATTACAAACAAAACTTAATTCACAACTTCAAGTATAAAACAATTTCATAAAATAAATTCTTTTTTTGATTTTGTTGTTTTTTTTAGATCGAACGTGAATTAACAGTACGTTCACAAGATGAAGTACGTCAACAATTATCACAAATTATGGAAAGACAACATCAATTAGAAAATGTTAATAAACGTTTAATATCAAAATCTAATGAAATAAGACATAATTTACAAAATAAAATTTTACCAACAGATGAAGAATATAAAATTCTTAGATCAACAGATATGAATTCTGAACAGATGTCACTTAAAGATTTTATTATGGTATGATATTTGAATAGAAAAATAATAGTCATGTATATATTTTTCTATTTAGATAAAATTTTATGAAACAGTACGACCAATAGAAATTGAAGTTGATAATTTAAAAAGAACACAAAATATATTAAACAATCAATTATCAGCAAATGGACAGGATCTTATACAAACACAAAAAGTAAATAAACAAAATCTATGATTGAGTTTATACAGTACGGTGTAAAAGTATCACGACCAATAGTTATTTCCAGGTTCTCGGCAAGTAGAGTTCGGCAGGACTGTCCCCTACCCGATGCCAATCCCGTAGGGAGCGGGATCAAAATCCCGACTTTTCGCTCGACGAGACGATCGGGACTGGAATGAAAAAACCTGATCCTGCCGGACCCTATCGGCAAGACATTTGAGGATTGACATCGAGACTATTTGACGATCAGTTAATCGTTTCAGATGTCTTTTCCGCAGGTACTGCTTCGGTCTTTAACTTCAGCATTTGGAATCAATACCGATCGTATTTTATAATTTACATAGCTATATATACATCTCATCATATCTCCTAAAAAGTGCTCGAAAAATCTCTTCGAAAACTTTCAGAAGTATGCACACAATCTTGATATAATTCTGATACCCATCAAACAGTGATAATCGATTTCATCTCGATTATAAAATCTAAGTTTTAATGGTTATTCAAGACCTTCGTTGAGAATAGATTAAAATGTATTTTTATTTCAAGGCTTTAGATGAAGAACGTCGATCATCACATATTGTTCATATGCAATTACAAAAAACAACAGCTGAATTAAATGAATATAAAAATTTATGTGAACAAGCTGAATTTAAAAAACAAAATTATGATCGAATTAAATCGTAATTTATCGGCAAAAAAATATTTTATTTTATTATTTTTTTTTGTAGAGAACGTGATCAATATGAACATCGTATTGTTGAACTTGATCGACAAATAACACAAAATGAATTACATATACAAACACATATAAAAGAAAAAGAAAATTTACTTCTTCAAGTATATTCTTTAAATTTAATTTGTTATTCAAATTCATTTTTCTTTTAAATAGTCAGCTGAATCACGACAAGAAATTACTGTTCTCCGACAAGATAAAGAATATTTAACACGACAATATAATGATATACAACATAAATTTTATTCAACTGAAGAAAAAATTTCATCACTTGAAGCAGCTCTTGACGATACAAAACGAGCTAAAGAAATTCTATATGAAAAATATATTTCAACTAGGTATTGATAAAATTTTTCTTACACCTATACAATTTATTTCTATATGATTGTACTTCTAGAGATGCATACAAGAGTGAATATGAAAATAAATTATCTATTGAATTAGAACAACTTCGTTCGAAAACAACAGTTGAAATTGAAAAATTACGTGAAAATATTAAACAAATGTATGAAAGAGAAAATCGGTAAGTTTATTTAATTTTTATATGTTACTTTTTGTTTACATTTTTTTGTCTTAATAGGTCATTTCAACATGCACGTGATGAAGCTATAGTTGAACGTGATCGACATGTTCAACTTGAACGAGATTTACAACGAAAATATGATGAAGTATTAACTGAGTAAGATAGAATTTATTGTTGATATGAATTTCTAAGAAATATTTTAATAGATCTCGTCAATATCAAAGTACTAGTGAAGTTCGTTTAGGTGAATTACAATCTGAATTAAAATTAAGAACATTTGAATTCGATCGCTTACAATTATTATACGAAGAAAATTTAAAATTATTAAAAAATACCCAAAATGAAACTGAAAAATTACAAAAAAAAACCGATGTTTGTTATTTGATAAAATATTATTTCTTGATTCATATTTTTTTGAATTTTATTAGTTAATACAAAAAGAATATTTTAATTTACAAGTTCAATCGGATCGTCGTGTAATGGAAATTGATACTGAATTAAATGATAAACGAACTAAATTACAAGTTTATGAAAAAGTTGAACAAGAATTAGATGAAGTAGTTATGCAAGCTGCACAAGGTAGGTACTACGAAATGCCGAGTAAATACATCAATGTGTTTTAAGTCTGGATGAATTGTATTCACAGAAAATGATAACGGTATCGAAATTCCCGAAAAAAAATATTTTGCCGAAATCGCGATGAAAAATTCCGAACCCGCCGGACCCCAGTGTAGACACAAAATACCCTCCTACACCCGGATGTCATTTCCTTATCTATGATTAAAAATATCATTTTGATTTCTTCTATTTCATTAGTTGAAAATGATGGTGATGCAAATAAAATTTTGTTCTCCTATGGTTATGGTGCATCGTTACCAACATCAGCCAAACGACGTCTTCAACATTCAGTTCATTTAGCTAAACGTGTTATTCAACTTGAACAAGCGAATACATCATTACGTTTAGAATTAGATCGAGAACGAAAACAAAAATCTAATATTCATCATGAGGTTTGAATCGTTTGCATTTATTTTATGTTATTTTAAATGATAAAATTTTAGTTGGAAAATGCAAATAAAATATTAGATCAAGCTCAACAGCCTTATGATTTTCTTATTGCAAGCATACGTAATAAAGATGTACAATTAAAAAAAATACAAGACACTATTGATGATCTTGAAAAACAACTTAAGTATGTTCAATTTATTTTTTATTAATGAAGATTTGAATGAATTTTATATAGAGAATCAGAAAATGATCGACAATCATTAATTAAAACAAATAATCAATTAACAAAAGATATTGAGAAATTATTAGAATATCAAGAGGTAATATTTTTTTGTTAGCAAAAATAAAATACAAATTTTACATTTATTATTTAGCCATTAAAAGTAATGAAAAGTGTTATTATGAATTTACAACATGGAGAACCACAAAAAGCAACAACCCATCGTTCACCATCACCGCCATTCAATAATAAATATCGTTCAGTTACACCACCAACTCTTCAATCAAAACGATCAGTTAGTTTTACTGATCCATTTAGCCAACATAATAATCCACCACCAATGGTTTTCGTATGTTAAAAATTCTATTCTTTATATATATATATGTTAATCTTTGTTTTATAGACATCGACAAGTAATGCTAGAAGTCCTTCATCAAATGTCAATCGAGGACCATCTGCATCCCAACAAGGAAAATATCGAACAATATATAAAGTGACAAATAATTAACTTATCCATTTTTTTTAATATTTGGTAGTGAAATGATTTTTTGTTCGTCGTTTTTTTCATTAGTTGTATTCTCTGTTTTATATGTGTAATTAATTAAAACATATGTAGAAAGATTTTTCTAATATTTCATATTAGAGTAGTAAATCGTATGCTTTTGATTTCTTGATCTAAATTAGTAATACTAAAGCAGATTGAAACTGATCATGATAATATTTTGAAAAGGTTTTGTTTATCGAGTAGAAGGAAAAGTTTATGTCACGTTTCGCAAAAGAGTTGCATATCAATTAAACATATCGTGTAAGTAACGAGATATATAGAGTAAGAAGCTCTCGGTCTCAATCATTGCGATTGCAATTAATTCCAGTATTTACATCGTCAAGATCGAATATATTTTACATTGAATATGATCATATCAGAGACTGAGAGTGTAGATATATCTCTAGTCTTCTGTTATGACTAATAATAACTAAAGATCTGAACAAGAGTTAACTTCAAATCCATCGATAAAAAAGAATTTTTTTCTCATAGGAACACTTACTGTAACAGCGAAACTAATACAGTTCCAATATACAGTCGATCGTGCGATGCTATTAGAGTAAATTCTTAATTTGACAAAAGATCTTTGAAAAAGACTCTAAATAACACTTAAATCAAAATCGAGAATATATTATTTGAAATGCATCATGTTTTTGTATCAACAATATTGCATCTATTATTTAATATTTTGTGTAACGTCTTGATAAGCTGGATTTACAGTGTACGGATTATACACAGACGTATTGGATGGATAATTAAGAGAAGTACTCGATGGATAAAGCACTCTTTGATCATTCACTATTGGTACTATAATTGTTTGATTTTTCTGTTTTCGTTCACGGTGACATACAATAACATAAATCCAATATATAATCAATATTAAAGAAGTAAAAGTCACTTTTATAAATAAATGATGTATAATTAATCAATAGAATATAATAAAAAAAACTTACTCTTTATAATACTATCTAAAAAATGATATAAATCTAACTTTTAAAAATATAACATATATATATATATTTGATTTACTTATTTTAAGTATATGATATGAATCTCTCACATAGTTCATGCATGGTTGACCACTATTTTGTAAAAGAAAAAGATAAGATAAACAATTCTTTTTTTCAGATCATTACTCACTGGTATTTGTATTTGAGACTTTCAGACTTGTCCATCAAAAAAATCTTAATACAATTGTCATAAAATTTAGGGTAAAAATAAATTTTTTCTTCATATGTTAAATTTTTATTATCAATACCACAACATTTACTTTGTTTTATAGTATTATAAGCCGTATATAAACTTAGATCATCTGGTTCTTTTACATATAGATAGGTTTTCATTAATTGATAAAATATTTCACGACTGTTATCCATAAATACATATAAATAACGGATTTCATTGATAAATACGAGTAAAATAATTGCTAAAAATCAAAAAGAAAACGTCGTATTTACTATCTATTAAATAAAACATACTGGTAGCAATAATAAGAAAGAAAAATACTGTTTTGGCATTGCTTGTTGTAAATAAAACAATAAATAAAATGATTCGTACTATAAATAAAATCAGTGCCATTAAAAAATTGCCAGGTGTTAAAGGCGGCCAAATTAATTCAAAATAATATAATTGTATTGTTAGGAAAACTGATAGACATAGTAAAATACTCAAAATAACACGCAATGTACCAATCATTATTAAACGAATAACTAAATATTAAAATTAAATGAAAATAATACTATTACCGCCTTTTATTTTTCAATTATTCTAAATTTTGTTTATGATTATTTAAGATCTCGTTCAACTTCGTTTTATTTTATTTCAAAAGAAATTAATTATTATAATTAAAAAAATTTCTTTAGAGACATATGCTTTTATTAATATCGAATCTGTCAACACGACCACTGCCATAATTCAAAACAAACACATTTCCATTTTCATCAAATGCTATATCATGTGGTTGACTAAGTGTATATTGTTTTTCTCCAATGATAATCGTACCGTCGATAGTATCCTCTGGTGTCCAACGAATAATTCTGTTATAATATCCATCGATTGAATACATATTTCCTGACTGACTAACACGAACTATTCTAGGCCAACGTACTTTACCCGAAACAGTGCCTTCTTTTGCATCTTTTTCCCATTTAACAACTCTATCATTAGAAAAATCTGCTATATAAATATCTTGCTTATGATCAATAAAAAGACCTAAAGGATTATTTAATTGATCAAGTCGATTGCCCTTGCCATTATTTCCTGCTACTATGCCATCATGTGTTAAATTTTTTCGCAATATCCATCGGCTAACACGATGATCGTTATATTCAGAAATGTAAAGTAAACCTTGATTATCTAATGCTAAACTGCCACAATGAAGATTATTAATAAGTATTTCACTTTTATTAGAATGTTGTGACCATCGAACAATTCTTCGATTTGTACCATCACATATAATTAAACTTCCATCGTTTGGATCTTGCACCATACCTGATATCTAATAATACATATTTTGTAAGAAATATAAAATCTATGTCTTTTTCTATTTACATACCCAACCTAATTTATCAGTTCTATTGCCTACACCATTCCCTTCAAATACAAGTGATCCATTTTTTGCACCTAATTCCCAAGTAACCATTCGTCCGTTTCCATAATCGGCAATATATAAAGTATTCGTTTTTGAATCTAATACAAAAGAAGTTGGATTTCGAAGTTGATTTAATGCTGTACCAATATAAGTACTTCCAGCAACAGTTACACCTTGTTTTGTCCAGCTTACATTAGCACAAAGTTCTGCTAATGGTATGGATGTTGTAGTAGATGGTGATGTCGCTATTAAATTCAAAAATAATTCATCGATAAATAAAAATCTTTTTTTTTACTTAAATTTTGTACGAATGGAGGACACATATCTAATGAAGTCATACCAGTCGGATAACACAATAGTCGACTCATTGATAAACTTGGATGATGAACACACATAGTATTCAGTTGATCACAATAATAATTATTTGTATTACATGTTCTTAATGTTGAAGGATTCAAATGAAGATAAGCACAAATTCCACTTTGACCATCTACAGATGAGAAAGGAAGACATCCACAATCAGGATTCGTTGAGCAACGAGCATACATTGGTAAGTTTCCACATGATTGACCTATTGTCAAAACTAAACAATCCAAAACTTATTAATCAAAAAAATAATAAATTAAAGAACTTTACCAAATAAACTAAATAAAAGAAAAACAAAAGAATGTAATGTTCGAAAATATATTTAGTAAAAATATTTACCTTTGAAAAACAATCAAAATTGATATCATTCTTACTTTTACAAAATGATTACATACAGCACAAAGAATCAATTCAATTTATCCTTGGATTATTTTCTAGTTATTTGATACTTATCACACAAGAAAAAAAAATCCCATCGTCATATTCGATTTCATCATGATGATATAGGTCGAAAATCGAGAATAAAAAACGCTCTATCATCATTTGAATATAATATGCGTATTAAGAAATAAAATTCAGATATTTTTGTCATCGTCAGTCACTATCATGTAGATCGTAATATAGACATTTATTTTATAAACGAAAGAAACAATAAAACAAAAATTGATCAAGTATAATTACTAATCTTCATCATCGGCATCTTCTAGAATTGGATATTGTTTTTCATAACAACTTTGACAAATACAATCAATATGATTATTGGAAGAGCATGCATGTAATGTAACATATCGTCGTCTAATTGCATTATTACAAATTGTACAATGATATATAATTGTATCTTTACTTTGAGGACGTGTTGCATATGAACATCGACTATATAATTTTAAACATTCTTTATGCATTGTATTTCCTTGATTAATAAAACTGAGAAGAAAATCTATTTGTTTGGATTGATCTTCTAATATTTGGTGAAGTTCATTTTGAATTTTAAGTGATGTATCTAATTTATTACGAAGAACATCAATAATTGGTCGCATCTGTTGAAATGGACATTTTTTTTCATGTAGATTTTGTTTATCTCTTGGTCCTTTCCATGAACATTTAATATCAACAGATCGACATGATACGATCTTTTTCGGACATTTTGATTCATGATCTCGAAAATTTCCACGTTCAATATTACTCTCATTACATTGATTACATCGAACAAGTAATCGATTAAGTTGATTATTTATAATATGTGTATTGATTGGTAAGAGATTTTCATCTTCATCAATTATTGATGATTGTCGACATGAAGGACATGAATGAACTTTATTTAACCAAGTTTTAATACATTGACGACAAAATGTATGTTTACATATAAGACTAACTGGTTTTTGAAAAGGTTGTGTACATATAGCACATTTAAGTTCATCATCGATTTTAGTTTCATCCATATATTCATAAGTATTCTTAGTAGATTTTGAAGCAGTCGCCATTTTTTTTTAAATGCCAAAAGAAAATGATTTTTCTATATGTTATAGTATCACTCATATATATCTCTTTTTTTTTCTCTTTCTCTTCCGTCGTACAGATAACATATACGGGATTCTCTCTTCCTGCTTTCGTCATCTTTTTATATTTTTTCTGACTCGTACACTATATATGTTGAATCGTTTGGGAGATAAAGATGATGTTTTAGTTTCAATCAGTTAAATCAATTCTTTTGTTAAGGTTATACTATTGATTTTAGTCTTTACTTCCTACATCATGCTATAATTTATCTCTATCGACCTTTTTCTTTCATAGACGAGTAGCTAGAGGGTATGTTTTGTATTGAAAACGATGCGATTCTCAATAAGAAAAAAATATATTTCAATCAAAAGTCATTATATACCAGCTGTTCGATATTGACCAGTTGTTTCCTTTTCTTTCATAAACATTATGAAAGTGCATCTATCTTTACGTCAGTATTCATCGAATGTTATTCAAAAGAAAAATAGGGTATTATATATTTGCTGCTGTACTAGTAAAAGATAGATATGAGTTTCAGTTTCTTTTTTTCTATCATGATAATAATAATCAAAACAAAATATTCTTTCTTGTTTATTAAAATGAAAATAAAAATAAAGTCAATATCGATCGTTATAACCAGTAAATGTAAATGTGTAATTCATATTTGGATTATAATTACTGTGACCATGTTGATTTGCTTTATTTATTGTTCTATAACAATGTAAAACTTTTTTTCCTCTATTATCTTGTTCGATTTTTTTTAATTCATCTTGACCAATAATTTTTTCCAGAAGAGAAATATCAACATCAGCTAATGGTTGCCAACAAAAATTCGACATTTGATTATTATATAATCGTGAATACCCAACTGTATTAGTTAATAGAGCGATTAATTTTTCTTTAATCAATACGTTATTTTCATCTGTTTGTGGTAAAATCATAAAATTTTTAATAGATTCAGTAAAAACTGGACCACAACGTTTTGGACAATATTTTCTTAATAGACCAGCAAAACCTTCTAATGTTTTTGCTGTTAAAATTTTATAAGTAATAATACGAATAGTTTCTGGTGTAAAATTAAATATTGTTGAATTATCACGATTTCCTAAAAAGTTTATTAATATAATTTATAATAGTTACATAAATAAATTACCTTGAAGTTTTTCATCAATCATATTTAATACATTTGATTTAGTTATATTTACTGGTACACATGGATCAAAATATAAAATCATTAATAATTCTTTTCGTAACTCATCATAATCAAGATGATTTTCAATATAATTTTCATCAAGTTCACAATATTTTAACATATTTTTAATAACAGTAGGAACACCTAAACTTAATTGATTATCAATTGATTGTAAAATAGTTTTTATATATTCAATTTCAGGTTCAGTAGTAATAAGTTTTCGATCTTCACCTGTAGTTGTTTCAGGAATTAATTCAATTGGTTTACACATTTCATCATGAAAATATTTAATAAAACTTTGTTCAACATAATCAGGATCTTGATTTATATCGATACCAGTTGTATTAGTATTACTTGCGACTGTTTTTACACGTTGACTTTCATCACCATATAATAAACGATCAATAATAAGATTTTTATCTACTGGCATTTTCTTACGTAAACATTGTCGAAGATATTCATAATAAACAGGCATAAGAATACTTTTAAAATCATTTTTCAAATATCCAATAATTAATGGTATACTTATATCATATGTTCCATTTTGTCGTCCATGAATATTTGCAATAAAGTTTTCATAAGTTTTCTCCCCATAAGCAGATTTAAAACCAATTGATTCAGTAATAATAAAATGACAAACTTTTTCCAGTTCTTTTATTATTTGTTTATATCTTGATGTACCAGTACGTTGCATAATAATATCATAAAGTAATTTAAGTAACCCAATTTCTTGTTGTTTATCATAACCATATGAATCTACGGAACCATCCATAAACGACATTCAGACAAACTAGAGAGAAGAGAGGTCAGACGTGGGTGGATGCGGATATACGTAATTATCAAACATGCACTCGCACCCAAACCCACGCCCACATCCATCCACGGTCGCACCCAAACCCACACCCACCCACACTCGCACTCGCACCCACATCCACCCACACCCGCACTTATACTCGCACCCATACCAACATCCACTCACCCACACTCATTTTTGGCCTGGATGTCCTTTATAAATGACCTCTAAAGTAAACATATAACCTAACCAAATACCTTCTAAAATTCTTATACGTTTCATATGTTCATAATTAATATAAAGTGGTATAACAGCATTAATTTTTTCATGTAATTGTCCAACAACACAATAAGCATCGTTAATACCATTAAATTGTCCATAATTATTATCATTTGTTTGTGTAGTTTTTGCTAAATTCATTGCAGCAATAAATGAATCATATGAAATAATTGTATTTGATACATTAATTAATTTTAAACCTTTTGTTGGTGATGTTATTGCTTCTTCATTACGTTCTATTAATATTCCTAAACACATTATATTATCAGATGTTTTTCTCATCATTTCATATATATCATCATTTGAATAAGTACAAATCCAATCTGGTTTTTGTTGTTTTATATCATTCCAACCTTGTTGATCAATATCTTTTTTATAACCATCTAATATACCACTTATATCAGTTTTACGAAAATAATCAACATTTTTATTAATACGTAAATCTAATTTTTTACGTCGTTGTGCATTAGCAAATGTAGCATCATGTCTTAATGCACTTAATTTTAATTTAACTTGTTCAGGTACTTGTCCCATTTTAATTTGTGTAAATAAATTTGTATATTCCATCATTCGTTCATCAATTTCATTTTTAATCTGTTCTAATTCTAATTTTTCTGTAAGATTCATATTTCCTGTTGGAATAATTGAATAAAGATATGTACGAATTTGTTGAACAGATTCTTTATCATCTGGTGAAATTAAATTTAATGCTCGAACAACTTGAAGTGGACTTATATTTTCTTTCAATTCCAATGGAACTTTTATTTCACCATCAGATGATCGAACTATTATTTCATTCGTTATTGTATTATCAATATTTATATTATTAATTAAAAATCCTACTGTTTCTTCATTACTATTTGCTGTATATGATTGATTATTAATAACAATAGTATATTCTTTTGCTGACATTGCATATTCAAACATATCATTGAAATTATTTTGTAATTCAGCTGATTGTGTTGAATATCGAAATAAACCTTCTTTTGTACCAAGTTTTCGTACTTCATCTAAAAAACTATTATTTACATCACCAAAACCAATAACATGAAATATAATTGTAACAGTTTTGGCTAAACCTTTAATAGTTAAATTTAACATTGTCATAGCTCGTTTTAATGCATCTTTCGAATCAGTATCTTAACCATCAGTCATAAAAATAAATGTCGTTGATTTTTGATTATTAATTAAATGATTTTGTATAGCTGTAAAAACTGAACTAAAACTAGTTCCACCATTTGCATTTAAATCTTGATTTTCAACAGATTTTATTGTTAATTGTGTATTAGCTGTTGTATTATATGTAAATAATGGATATTCAATTTTTGTACGTTTATATATGTCACGTAAAACTTCACAAACATTACGAATTGGACTACCACTCATTGAACCAGATACATCAACACAACAAATTATATTATTAGTAGATGATGTTTCATTTTTTGGTACTTTTACTTCAATGTAATGATGATGACCATTAATATTAAATGGAGTTTTGAAATAACTAGCCATTTATTAAATTTATCACAGAAATTTTTTTTATCTAATTTAACGAAAACTATCATACTATATATATATATCAAAAGATGACAATAGGGAAAAGACCTTTCGTATATATAGGTCAATAGAAGAACGAATGGAAAATACCAAATAGATGTTATATGAACGAAAAGAAAAATATCGAATAAAAATGTACATCTATATATTTAAGTTTAAGAACAATATTATGATATGTTAATATCCAAAGATAATAGGGGATTTTTGTAGCAGAATATCTGTTAGTCAGCAGGATAGAAAAAACCACTGAAGATTAGATATAACTAATAAAAAAACAGGTACTTTAAATATCTTATAGTACACTTAAAGAATATTAGAAAAAAACCTCTATCTCTCTATGTTATTTCATCATACTTTACATAATATCAAGGTAACAAACTTTCGATAAAATCCTTTTGTAAGTTTTCATTGTGATCTTCAACTGCTATAAAAATGCAGCTCAAAAAATTCTACAATATACATAGGATGAACTATTTTCCAGTTGTATTTTTTTCCCGAAACATAACGGATCTATTTTTTGTTATTTCATTGTTTTATCACCGATATACACTAGTATATACAGCTTAAAAACTATGATCAAACATATTTACTTTACACGCAGGTTAAAAAGAAAGTTAAGCAAGCGATGACATATATTTTGCGTTCTCTCATCATTATTTTTACGATAGAGTGGAAAGAAAGATGACTCATATTTATTATTGACAGAACAACATAGTTTGCTATTGCATACTTTTTACTCACACAAAAAAACAAAAGTCTTTGACGATTAATAAAACAAACAATTGTTATATTTGTAAGTAAATTTTTCTTATAATAAGATATATTCTTCTATATGAACCACATAAAATTATAATTAGTGTACTAAATAAAAAGAAATATTCTACTTACACACCGTTGTGAAATATATTACTTTTCATCAACTGTGTAATGAAAAATTTTCTCTCGATTTATAAGAAATATTCTTACACAATCAAAGGAAATTTCAAAATATTATGCAAGAACAAATAACACACTGGATTTTTCTTTATTATTAATTAGAGTAGATATAAGCAACAAGAATATTATTCTTTTTTTTACGTTACTTTATGTCATTGATTTTCTCAGAAGTAATTTAGATGATCATTTATCGTGTAAATTTTTATTTTCATTATAGGTGGGTTTTTTTTTTATTTTGCGATTTATAAAAAGAAAAGGAAGACACAGAACAGAAAATATTTATTCCATGTATTTTTCTTTTACGTTCTATCGTGTATGTTAACGTATGTTGGAAAAAACCGTACTTTAACAAATAGATATAAAACCCAATGAATCGACATATTTATTACGTGTAGTTTGTGGTAACAAACAGGAACTTGTCAAATTTTGTTTTTCGAAATAGTTTTTCAAACTAATCAGATTATTTTTTTATTAAAAAATTTATAATTTTTAGATTAATAATGGCACAGACTGTTTCACCAGTAATATATTCTCCTAACGATCAACCGGAACGTGTTCTTCCAAATCACTTTATTATTTGGCTAGATCAACATATTGGACTACCTGAGGAATGTATTATGTTAAAATGTACTTTTATTCTAGCAATGAATCCAACTAGTGGATCGTATGAAAGAAGTCTCAACACAGATGATATTGATCGTAGTATTCGATTAGATGCACCACTTCTCGTTCAACTTGATAATGTGGAATTTATGTTTCAAGTTTTTGATAATGTTGAAAAATGTTTTCAAACTATAGAAAAAAATCGTGACAAACGTATTTTTCTTATCACATCTGGTTCAAAAGGAAAAATTCTTATACCAAGTCTCGTCATAAATTTTCCAGAAATATTTAAAAAAGGAAATTGGATGTATGTATTTTGTGCTAATATGAATATGGTACCAGTTGGAGATATAGTGCCAACCAACACATGGGCAATACATTTTCTAGATCATATTTTAATGTTTGATCATCAAGATGATCTATTAGTTCGTATGGTATCTGATATTGCACATTATTTTACAACAAAAGCCAATGATCTTAAAAATAATCAACAATATGACAATGCTTGTCAGTATCTTACTTGGTCCAAACAAATGCATAATCGATATGAACTTCTAACACATAGAAGTATGACTAATAAAGTGAATGAAATTGATCAAGAAATTGTTGTTATCAAGCAGAGACAAAGGGAACAACTACCTAATGATGACGAAGATGGTTATGGGGAAGCATGTGGTGATTAATTATCTGTTAGAATATGTTCTTATTTTATTAGTTTATTTTATTTCATATACTAAATAAAATAATAATTATTGTCTCAAATTAACTAATTTCTAAGAAAATTCGGTTCTGTTATATTCAAAAATTCAATATTTGTCAAAAAATCTATAGTTTTATATTCAGAAAATTATGACAAACTTTCCTAATTATCAAACAAATCTATATAAATTTGAACAAAATACTAAAGATATTTTTCTACAGTAATTATCTGTATTAAATTTTATATACAAATATTCTCGTAGAATTCCATATCGTTTATTAAAGTTGACAATTGAATGCAAAGAAAATCTAATAAATAATTTAAAGGATACTCTTCAATATTTCGAATTTTATGTTATTAACTAACGATTAACAAATAGATTTTATAAATTTATGCAAAAAAAAAATTTTCTTGAAAATACGTGAATGAATTTCTATTCTTTTTAATGCTATAGTAAAATAACATGATGTGTAATCTTACATTCTATACTTTTATTCAACACGTGATGATGTATATATAAAGAAAAGAAAGAAAGAAAGAAGAAAAATATTTGCGGTGCGTCACTTTTATTGTGAAGGGTTGGTTTTTTCCATCGTTTCTTTTATTAGAGGCAATTGTGAAGATATAAATATAATACATTTGAATTCATTTCAAATCTTTATATTAACGTAGAAATTCGAATTATGTCGACAAATAATAATGAACAATTATTGGCTGCAGCACTTTCAACAATATTAGGCAAAGAAATTCTACCTGAATCAAGTGTACCACAACAATCACAACAACATATAAGCAAAGTTTCATTATTTGATCAACATTTAACATCATTTGTCTATGGAAAAGTTGGAATAGATGACAGCACTAATGACAATTTATTTATAACATTACATATTACAATTGTAGCAAATCAAAAAACGTTTCAATGTCAAATTGAACGTAGTGCAAGTGTT